CATACATATAGGGTGCGCCATCTTTTATGTCGGTATGTAAATATTGAATAACTTTGTCATTAGTGAACCGATTGATTTGAGTAGACCAGTGTTGAAAACCTCAGTTCAAGAAATTGTGCAGAACCAAATTAAATAAAAATATCTCATACTTGAAAATCGGTTGATTATTTTCAAAGATATTCAATGTTTACATACCGACATAAAAGATGACGCACCCTGTATGTACACAAGAGGAGAATGTGAGTAGTAGTAGAGTGAAGACACATAAAATTTGGCTCACTAAAATACTGCAAATAGCCAGTGAAATATGTCGGTAATATTTGTTTAAACGTGTATGATGATGTGAGACAGCGGTACGTACATGTGTTTGCTGAAGGTACGGTGTTTTACCCCTAAGAAGAGAGCGAATTCGAAGTGAGCGGCGAGGGCAATGGTGCAATCCGCGCAGATGGGTGCATGGCCACCGGTGATGCGCTGGGTAAGTGTCGCAACTAGCTCGGTGCTATACTATGGCGGTTTGTCGTGAAGTTTGGCAGGTTGGGCACTCGGCAACCTGCCGGTCACCGAAGTCACTTATGCGGACGCCAACTATGAGTACTGCCGTTTGTTGAATCCGCCCTATAAATGGGCAGAGATTCACTGTAGTCAATTTTTTTCCTCGGCTGAGGCCGTCTAAATCAGCAGCCGCAAGGCTGTCGAAATAGCACATGTTACTGTTGGAAACGCGGTTTTGCCTCCAAGCGGGCGATCATGTACCTGGGAGTGATGCTGGATACCAGGTTGTGCTTCCGGGAGTACCTCGCCTATGCTAGCAATAAGGCCGCCACAGCATCGAGAGCACTAGCGCGTATTATGTCAAACATCCGCGGGCCAAGGCAAGGGAGCATATTACTCATGGTAGAGCTACGTAGATTGGAGCGCGAACGCCAACGAGGACGAATATGAACGGCCGAACCGCACGGATGCAGATTCGTTTATTAACTTCTTTCTTTTATAAAGCATCTATACTAGCTTGCTTAACCCAAAAATGATCTAATGTGGAACAATGTGATTGGCTGTATAAATCTGCTGATTGCCTCTACTTTACTGCGGTTCCACGAATCCAAGAAAATCTACTTTTTATTTAAAAAAGTATTTGTATAATAGAGTTTCTCCAACACCTATGCAATATGTTTTACGTGGTCTTCCATGTTTTTCGACAAAATGAGAACATCATCATTTTTTTTCTATTCTTTTCCGCAAGTAGTATTTGATGAAATCCCGATTTTAGATCAAGTGTTGTAAAATACCTGGCTTTCCCGAGATTTTGAGGGTATTTATCGTCTGTGGTTTTTAAATGTAGTTTCCTAAAGTCTATAACTAGACGTTTTATCGTGTATCCCTGTTCGTCTATCCCCTTTTTATCCACTACCCACACCGGATTATTATAGGGTGATCTAGATTGCATAATTATGTTATCCTTCAGCAAGCTGCTGATTTCGCTGTTTATAGTTTAGAATAAACGTTTGGGAGTCTTGGCTCTCGCCTTTGTATTACTCAGGCTGAACTGAAACCAGTGGAGCTTGAGACGCTGGATTTGATGGCCAGAGTAATCTCTGGTAGCAACTCGTCCCAGGTATTTTGATCACCGCTTATAAACTGCGATATCATTATTTTTATTGTCCGATTTGCCCTTTCCGTGGGGTTCTCTTGAAGGCAGTACGAAGGTGAATGCTCGACTCCCCATTCTTTTGGGCAGTTATTGAATATTCGACTCGTAAACTGTGTGCTGTTATCACATACGAAGAGTTTTGGGACTCCAAATCTGCTGTGAGGACTCGTTTGCTAAATGCTCGTACCAGATGGGTGGCAGTCGCCTTTTTAAGGGGGACCAATTCAACCCATTTCGAGAACAAATCAAAGAAGACTAGCAAAGTAGTGTTACCGTGTTTGGTCCTAGGTAGAGGTTCGACAAAGTCAGCACATACACGGTTGCCACAGAAAACTCCGGTGGTTTCCGCAAATGCTATTTTTTAAATCTAAAAAAAAATCCGTCAGTGCCACAGAACTTCAAAAGATTTCATTTTTCGAAGTTCCCCTCCAAGCCAGCTGTCAGCAACAGCTGACTGTCGACGACTACATTTAACTGACTAATTCTGTAAAAATCCTGTAACTTACTAAGTGAAATAAAACCAAATATGCCATTTGCGTTAATATTAGCCAGGAAGAATTTGCGGAAACGCCAATAAAATGTTGAAAATGTTTGAGAAGTGGATCTGATCCCAATTTGGCGAAACAAAGAGTTCCACTTATGTTGCTTATTATATATTAAATTTATTTGTAAGATTTTTTATAACATCATATGGAATTTTGCGCAATGTCAGGGTATGCTTCCCTAAATTGCACGAAAATTGCGTCCTGTTGTGGCGATTTCTCTTTTCCCCTGCAAAAAACTAGCATTTGAAATTGAATTCATAAATTACAAAAATTTACTTGCATCTTGTTTTACTGGTACGAATTGTAGTTTTAAATATTTATTTTATTTTTAACTTTCGTTTGATTAACAACTTTCGACTTGACTCATCAAGTTGTGATGTTCGAAAAATTTAATTCTCTATTTGGGCCAATTAGGCATCTCTATTGTGCGGTTGGTTTGGATTCTGTGTGTGAATGCTGCTGTTTTAAGTTTCAGTTAGTAATTTGCTAATTAAATAATATTTACATAGTATATGTAAAATATTTTTAATGCAGATTGTCCAGAAAAATTATAAGGTTATATTCTTTTTTTTAGGAAAAACGCCTTTGTTAGTATTTTTAATCAAAACTCCTGGCTAAACGAACAAAATTTTAAACCTCCCAAGAGCGATTTTTGTGTCACCGAGATTGGTTTTGAGGCGAAACTTGGGCGGAAGAGATTTCTGTGGCACCCCTGCATAAGGACTAGAGACACAAAATTTTGCACAAAGATGCCTTATGTGTGTACGCTGTGCAAGTTTGTTTTATTTTGTTGATTTCCCCCCCCACTTCCCCCTATGGAGGTTTTCCCGATTTTCCGTGCGTAGACCATAAGACCTAGCAGCACCAAATTTTAGTCCAAAATGCCTTTTGTGAATACGCAGAAAATGTGTATTTTGGAATTTCCCTCCCTCTCTCCCACAAATCGTGATTTTCCATAACTCCCGTAATTCTTGAATTTTTTGACTCAAATACATTCAATTAGTGATTATGAGTCGGTTGGCCCAGTTTCATTATGATAGACCGATTTAACAGGAAGTTATAGTCATAAATATAATTGCCAAGCACTGCCCGCAGCTATTGTTAATGTTGGTGCCTTAATTGACTGCAAACATGCTCTCACAGACACGAATAGACACGCATAGGCATGCATACACTCACACAGACGCAATTGATATGCAAATGTGCAATTATACACCCTTTCGAATACCGAGACAGGTAAAATCGATCATTTTTTTTTTATTTTTATAGCCTGTACCCAAAGGGTGAAAGGCTATACTAGTTTTGTAACACACAAAAGGAGGCGTGGCAGACCCCACAAAGTATATATATTCTTGATCAGGATGAGAAGACGAGTCGATATAGCCATGTCCGTCTGTCCGTCTGTCTGTATGAGCGCAAGGATCTCAGTAAGTACAAGAGCTAGGATAACCAAAATTGGTATCAAGATTCCTATAAGCCCTAGGCAGAACGAGTTTGTTTATTTTTTCTGATACACCCCCCCCCCCCCCCCCCCACTCCCCCGCAATTCGTATTTTTTCTTATAACTTCCGTAATTCTCGGAATTTTAAAATCAATTTTGGTAGGTACATCCAGTACTAATGTGTCCGTGTGCCAAATTTCATCATGATAGGTCAATTCTGAAGAAAGTTATAGCCATAAGTAAAATCGCTGCTCATGCGCTGCCCGTTGTTGCTGCCTTTGTTTAACTTTGTGCTGCATACATACACGCATATGAACACGCATAGGTACGTGATGTAAATGTATGCTGTTTAAACTGAACATAAACATGTATTCTAATTTAATTTAATTAATTATTTTAATTAATTCATTCATTCATTTTTTTTAATAATTTAATTTTCTTTTTTTTAATTTTTCTTTTTTGTGGAGAGTACAGGCTATTTTACTGTCGGGCTTGCTCGACTGTAGCGTTCTATCTTGTTTTTAATTTATATAGCCTGTACCCAAAGGTTGAAAGGCTATACTACTTGTAGTTTGGTGCGAATGTATGTAACACACAGAAGGAGGCGTGGCAGACCCCACAAAGTATATGTATTCTTGATCAGGGTGATATAGCCATGTCCGTCCGTCCGCCTGTCCGTCTGTCCGTCCGTCCGTCTGTATGAGCGCAAGGATCTCATAAGGTACAAGAGCTAGAATAACCAAACTCGGTATCCAGATTCCCATAAGCCTTAGGCAGGTCAAGTTTATTTTTTTTATTCTGATACACCCCCCCCTACACTTCCCCGCACTTCGTGTTTTTTTCCATAACTCTCGTAGTGCTTGGAATTTCGAACTAGAATTTGGTAACCGTTAGTGATTATGTGCCTGTCTGCCAAGTTTTTTTTTTCTTTTTTCCCTTTTTGGTGGGAGGTACAGGGTATTTAAGAGTTGAGCTTGCTCGACTTTAGCATTCTTTTCTTGTTTTTAATTATTTAAAAAAAAAATTTTTTTTTCCTTTTTGGTGGGAGGTACAGGGTATTTAAGAGTTGAGCTTGCTCGACTTTAGCATTCTTTTCTTGTTCTAATTTTTTTCATTTATATTTTTATTCTAAACATATGTACAGAGTGTTTCAAAGTCGGGACACCCGACTTTAATTTCCTTACTTGTTTTATTTATTTAATCACACCAGTTTTACAAATTCATATATTCACCGACATTTTTACCAAAAACATAAAATGAATAAAATAATTATAAATTAATATTTTTAAATGAATTAAATAATATTTTGATTTAAATGCCAACTGACATTTTGACCAAATATTTTTCTAAACTAATATGCAAGTCAATCAACAAGCTGCCGACGTCATCAAAGCTTCTTGTATACAAGGCGATCATCAGGCCAATCTGGACATATGGTATCCAATTGTGGGGCACCGCCTGTAAAACTAATGTCCGAATTATACAGACATTCGAGAACAAAGCTCTCCGCATCGCCACCAGCGCTCATCCTCTGCACGACAACTACACCATTCATGAAGTCCTCAGCTTCCCTTGGGTGTAGGACGAAGTTAAGAAAATCAGCAAGCGGTACATGCAGAGGCTACATGACCACCCCAACAACTTGGCGATGAACTTGCTGGACAACAGCGAACGGACCAGGAGGCTGCTCAGGACCCATCCTCTGGACCTCCCCAAGGACTAGCCGAATACTACAACCACATTCTAAATGAAATAATAAACTGTAAAGTTTATCTTTATCCAATTTAATGATTGTACATGATGGATAGTTTTAAATAAAATACGAAAAAAAAAAATCAAACAAATATATTAATTTTTAAACTCAAATTTGGTTATTACATCCAGTTAGTGATTATGTGTCCGTATGTTATCATCATGATTGGTCGATTCTGAAGAAAGTTATAGCCATAAATAAAATCACTGCACATGATTCTGATGTAAATTTATTCTATTTAAATTGTACATAAACACTTATGTATGTATTCATGTGTTGAATATTTTATATTTAATTCAATTAATTCAACTAATTAATTCAATTTTGGCATAAAGTCGTAATTTCGATATGAATATATCATATTTTTGATTTTAAATTATTTTACTAAATACATCATACACATACAAAATTAAACAAGTCTATTCGGGTCTGTGTGAACATGTTTGCAGTCAACCAAAGCACCAGCATCAACAACAGCTGCGGGCAGCGCTTGGGCAGCAAATATATTTATGGCTATCATAGTCATAGTGAACCTTGGCACACGGACACATAATCACTTACTGGATATTTGAAAAATTTGAGTTGAGTGAGTAATTCCAAGAATTACGGGAGGTTCGATTTGTGGTGGAGAGAGGAGGGAGGGATATTCCAAAATACACAATTTCTGCGTATTCACATAAAATTGGACTAAAATTAGGTGTCCCTAGGTCTTATAGTCTCCATGATATAGGCGATTATACGAATGGAAAATCAGGAAAACCCCCATAGGGGGGAGAGTGGGGGGAATCAAACAAATAAAACACAGCGTACATACATAACGCATCTTTGTGGAAAATTTGGTGTCTCTATCTCTTATAGTCCCTGAAATCCAGGTGTTCATACGGACGGACAGGCAGGAAGACATAGATCGATTCGTCTTGTGACGCTGATCAAGAATATTGAAAAATCGGTAGCTTTTTAGCGATTGAAAAACGAAGTTAATTAATTAACAGAATGAGACGCGGAAATCTTTCGATTATAAGTATAGCTTTAATGGCTTGGATAATTGTACAAAGCGAGGTTCACACTGCCGATATTACAAGACAAGCGATTTTGCCTGCTGCCGCTACAAGTCAGCGGACCAGCACAAGAAAAACGTACAAAGGGAGCGCCGCAGAGAGCGCAGCAATAGAGAGCGCAAAAGAAAGGCTTAGAAGCTAAGTAGGGTTCCAACATTCCGGCCCCTTTGAAGGACTCCCGGTCTTTCAAATCCACACGGAGCACCGCCAACATCGTGGACTGGTCACCTAGCAGCGCCGCTGCCTACAACAATCCTCCTACGTGAGGAGGTCGGGGAAGAATGAACCACCAATCGATTCGTCGCTCTGCCACAGAGTCCGTCAGGGCGTCCTTTCTCCGCTCGAAAGCCGACGGCAGGTCTCTCAGCAAGCCGCTTATTCCCGCGAAGTTCGTCACGAATACCGCTACGTAATTTGTAAAGGGCGGTCTTCCGCGTATGCGATAGCTACCATGGAATGGGCCGCAAAGTTGGAATCCACAAACCCTGAAAGGTCGACCTTCTCGAAGGCGATCACCTGGCAAATTTCTCATTATTTGCTCAACTAACTTGGGCTTGCATCGAAGGCAGTTATGTAAAACTGCTGAGCAAGACCTACGACTATTTATCACCCAAATCTGTTGCTTTAGCAGCCCAACTAACATCTTAAATCGCCACAGCCCTTGCCACAGAGTTTTGGCCTTCCAAGTTGCTCAGACAAACGCTTTGTCGGCTTCAACGAAGTAAAGCTATCCTCATGTAGATGATAACGAAATACATCATATTGAGGAGCCAGCATGTCGTCAACATAAAAACAATTTTTAATGACATTTAACGCGACATGGTGACATCGAGCATAAATATTGGCCAATTCAAACAAACAGCGCACAGCTAAAAATGGCGCTGATGCAGTCCCGTATGTGACAGTGTTCAACTTAAAGGAATGCAGCTCATGCGAGGCACTTTCTCGCCAGAGAACGAGCTGACAATTTCTGTCTTTCTCAGACAAGTTTATTTGCCTGTACATCTTGGAGATGTCGGCAGTTATTGCGTTTTTATTCAACCGAAAGCTTACAAATGTTGAATAACGCTCCCTCTGAATAGTCAGCCCAACCGTTAACGTATCGTTTAATGATAGAGCCGTTGACGTCTCACTAAAAGCGTCAAACACCACACGCAATTTGGTTGTGTGACTTTCAAGCCTCAGGACACATTGATTAGGAATATAATAGTGCTGCCCAGGAGGAGGAGATTCAAGGGCTGACATATGCCCAAGATCACTATACTCTCTCATGAAATCGTGGTGCATATCATGGAGAGTTTTATCTTTTGTGAGTTTACGCTCAAGTTGTAGGAACCGCCTTTCAGCAGGTCGAAAGGAAAGGCCTAGTACAGTGAAATCGGGTTTGAACGGAAGTTCGAATTGAAAATGACCTGTAGACAGGCACTGTACTGAATTTGTGAAGCACACCTTCACAGGCCCTTTGTTCAGCTGTCTGGCGCACAGCCTTCGACTCATTTGGGGTCCGATCGAGTTCCCAAAAGCGTTGAACTAAGGTGTCGAGAGAACAATCATTAACTTGAGCGACAACGTTAACGCTGAATTGTTGAGGAGGTATTTGCCTTGTATATCTACCAGCAACAACCCATCCCAGCAATGTCTTCTGCAACAATGGAAGACAAGAATTGAGCTCGATTTGCCCAACGCATAATAACTTGTAAAAAAGTTCAGCGCCTAGGATAATATCAACCTTGGCTGGCTTATAGAATTCTGGGTCAGCCAACTCAAGGTTTGCGGGTATTTTCCATTTCGATGTGGGCACAAAGTTACCAGGCTGACAAGTAGATATGGATTTAAGAACCCAAAAATCAGTGCCAAAGCTGTGAGAATTCAAACGAGATTGAATATCAGTGCACGCCTTGTGCCTACTACCAGTAATGGTTCCACCTGCCATTACAATACTCACAGCTGTGCCTTTACGCTTTAATCAACTGTGAGCCGCAATCAAGTAACACACGAGCAGGATGGTAATGGCCGAATCTATCTTTAATTTTTACCACTGCTGTGGCAAGAATTACTTGATCGGCACTTAAAACGTGACCTAAGTACGCTTCTGGAGGTGCGACTGCGTGTGGAGCGGGTGAATTTGGCACAGCTACATAGTATCTGTGCAACAACGAATGGTGTGGTTTTGAACACACCCGACACTTGGAAGCTTCGCAGCTGGAAACTATATGACCCACATTCAAACAATTGAGGCACATTTTTTGAGTCTTAGCAAACTCAAATCGCTGCATAACAGATATAGAACCGAGGGAAGGGCAAGAATAACTACAATATGTGCACTTCGAAATCGGTTTTGAAGGCTTTGAAGGACCCTTTTTGCAAAAAACGAAGCTTTACTATTTCTTGTAGGTTCTCCTCGCGGTTTATTTGGAACTCGAGTTGTCTCTTCAGCCGCTAAATATTGGTAACGTCTATTTAAACGGTTTCACAACTCCTAGAGCCTCACCTGACAAGCACGACACCAAATGGTTAAACTTCTCGACGTTGATCAACGAAGGATCGTCATGAACTAGACTTTCAAATAAGCACATAAAATTCTTAAATTCGGCATGCTTTCCACTGAATGTAGGCAGCCGCATTTTGGGTAACTGTGACCGTTGACTGGCCATCATAGAACAGTCATGAGAAGTCTGACTTTCAACTTTTTGTTTCGTTGCCTTCACATACAACGCCTTAGTTGAAATGCACAAATCCTCAAGTGGCCCTCTACTATCGTTACTTGGATTGAGACTATCCAAATCTGCCTGAAGCGCCATAGCTTTCGTTATGTAACCTTCCAACAGCTCGAGACGGCACTCGAGTTCTGTTTGTTCGAACGAAATTGTCTTTAACTGAAATGCTGTTCTCATACGAGCAATATCAGCGCTAACCTTATCAAATTTCTGCAAGCATTGTACTAGTTTAGAACTAGATTTACTACTACTTGTTGCTTCTCAGATTCTGACATGGTAGAGTATAACCAAAATAAACTCTAAACAAGTTGCAAATCAAAGAAAATGAGCACCGAACTTTCCTAACAGCCCTCGCAAATAACAACGCGCTAAAACAGCAAGAGACCAACTGAAATGCACACAGATTACGTACACACGCACTCAATACAGTATGCACGCAAGCAAAGTAGCAGTCCAAGCGACCGCACAAACAACAACGAAATCTGCAAGCAATCTCAGCTGTACTCAGAAAATAGGCGTCGATTACCGCATGCACGCTTGTAGGCAACGCTAATTCAAACGGGTAGCGGGGGGAAGTTCGTTGGCCCAGCGACAAGTATAGCCGAAAAAGGCGCGCACAAAGGAAAGAGCGACAAAATTCTTTTGCTACGCTAGCGGCGCAAGCAACAACAAAGCTATGTTTGCATGTATGTATGCAGCTGATGCAACAAACATCTACCTAAATAACCAACACAATATAAACAAAAATAACTTTAAAATATTTGTTTTTTATGTTAAAAATCAGCTTAGTAGCCCTTTTTTAATTGTTGTGGTTTGTTTTGCCTCGAGGTTTTGTTAGTAGTTATGTATGTTTATGAGGGTGTATAATTTGTTAATTTATGCAAGGTGTGGTGTATGTGCGTATGTATATGTATGTATATAATATTATCATGCAGTGGCGAGTATGTATGTATGATTATGTATTTGTGTATGTAATGTGGTTGCACAAAATAAATTGAGTGCCAAAAATTGAGTCCGCATAAGCATACACCTACTATATATACATATGTATGTACGTATGTGAATAGGTTTTAAACATCTTTCGCTTGCACAAATTTGCAGCAATTAAACTTCTTAGAGCTTTATGCTCAATTGTTGGCACAGAATACCTATAAGCGCTCAAAAGAGTCCACCGAAACTTCCCTGGATTCCGAGCGACGATCAACCATTAGCCAAGCAAAACGACAGTACCATAAGTAGGGCAAACAGCAGCTCCACAGTCCAAACGAGCAGTTGTAGTTTATGGTATCC